GTAAAAAAATGATCAACTTTTGCTTAAGTATCAGCTAAACAGTCAACATTTAAGGAATTTGATGGATTGGTCACTTCTGCACCAACTTTGATAATATTATGGGTATTTTTGCTCATGGCCATTGACTTTGTGGGTATTTTTATCCCTTTATTAGTTCACATCAGCAAAAACTGACACGTGACATGCACAGTCAGTATTTAATGGTCAAAGTTAATGACGTTAGGTCAAAATTAATGATTTAGTCACTTTTTCACTCACTCATTCAACGTTATGAGTATTTTTATCTTTTTTTTTTCACTTTATGATACCGGGTGCCCCTAACTGATCACTTTGTAAATATTTTTGCCTCTTTATCCTTTTTAATGTTACCTCTATTTAAACTCATTAACTATACATGAGAGAGAATGTAATGTAAATTTAAAATTTTTTCATTTAAACAGGGATAAAATTGAAAGTTTATTCTATTTTCCTATAAATTTAATGATTTAATTACCTCTTCTTAGTTTTGATGAGATGGTTAAAAGTGCTTTATAATAAAAATCAAAAGATGAGTACTCCCTTTGGTTCTATTTATAAGTCATTTTTACCAATCTCATCAATACCAATATAACAAAAGTATAAAGAATAAAATTTAGTAAAATTATAAAAAAATAAATAAACTATATAATATTATTTTTCTGTTTCTCTCTCTCTTACTTTTTAAGGGTAGTTTAAACATTTTATTTGAAACAAAATATCACTATCAATCAAATGACTTATAAAGTGGACCACTTCACCTTTTTAAAAGATGATCAATAAAGTAGACCAGAGGGAGTACATGTATAGGAATTGAAATGTATATATGATGAAGACTGAAGGGTGTAAATATGATCAGCACACACGTAACATGTGTGTATAAAATATATATGGTGGGAATTTTAAATAAGACAATATTAAAATAGGACTAAAGTGTATTTCTGTCTTTAAAGTATTTTTTGAGAAGCACTCAATACACTAACATTATTATTGAATTAATTTTGCCTTTAAAGTTATTAAAACGAAATATTTTTATTCTTTCTATTAAAATTTTAACATTAACATCAAATATTGACCGTTAGAAAATTTGATGGAATGAGCAAAAATGCTCCATTTTAATAAGTTTAAGGGTAAAATTATTTTAACAAAAATGTTAGGATATTGAGTGTTCCTTGAGAAATATTTCAAAGGTAAAAATACACCTTTACCCATTAAAATATAATCACATAAATTGTATGGAATGCGCAAAAAGAAATTAATTCTTATCGTTCAACAATGCTTTCATTGTATGGGAATTGGAAGGCACTTGTCATCTTGTATACATACACCGTTAAAAAAATTTGCAATGATGACATTTTTTTAAAAAAAATTTGGACTATAAAATATTTTTATTTTCCTAACTTAGACTCATTTATTAAAGTTTATTAAAGTCATATATTTTTATTTAAAAATATATTTTAATTTGTTTTTTTATTGAAAAATACTATAAATTAAGTTAGTAGAAAGCATTTTAGTATAAATAAACTTCAAATTAGACTTTTTTTGAAAAGAAATTGTATGTATTATAATTAGCTTCCTTCTTTTTCTGAATGAATATTGTTGGACTGTATATTCAATTTACTTTTTTATACTTAATATATGACATATATGAATAGTCATTTAGTTTATTTTTCTTAAGACATTTAAATTAATTAAAAAATATAATAATTTAAATAAAGCATATAATTTATTTATTTTTTCTCATTTTGCTATGAACGCAATCTTGATTACTAAGGTAATTAAATAACAACCAATAAACATTTGTATGTAATTCTGAATTCTAGGAAGGTTTCCAATAAAAGTATGAAAATCAACTGGTTTAATTTCTTTTGTGATGGTGAAGCTGATTCTTCTTTGAATCCCTCTTTTCGTTAAAGGCCTGAAAGAGTATTTGATTAAGGAAGAATAATTTCAATAATTAGTAAATATTATCACATATGGAAGGATATGTATAAGAGATATCCTTGCCGTTGGTTTCTTTTTTAGGGTAACTTTTATGAAACTTGGTAACCAATTAATAACTTATGTGACAGAATTTAAAACCAATCTTTATGTCACTGAGTCTTAATCAAAATATATAAAAGAGAATAATCTCTTAATAATAGCATGACATATAAATGACTTAATTGAACACGATATATTCTTTGTAAAAAATTATCCAACCGTTAAGATATTAAAACCTAGTATATATGTATGTATGTATGTATATTATGTGATCATATAATTATTATGCTACACACGATAATTAGTAGTTAAAGTTATTAAACATGATAGAGAGACTTCGCTAATAATTTTCACATCAAATTAAGCCTACCCACACTTGACTTCTCAATACGTTGACACATCTTACAGCTTACAACTTTTGCCAATATACCTATTTGCTTGTGTATGAAAAAATATTGTTATTGAATATTTTGAAATTTTCAAATTATTTACTGATTAATAATAATAGTCTAAATTAAATATATTAAAAATTTTATTAGAAAGAGTGAATATAAATACTTGTCCATCGTAATACTTCCTCTATGTCCTATTTTATAAGACATTTTTTAAGATAATTTGGCAATTCAAAATATAAAATGTTTAGAAAAAGGGGGTTTTTTTTTAGTGATGATATATTTTTCTTCCCTCTTTCGTATTTATGAAGAGTATTTTTGGAATTTTATAAAAAAATTAATATTGTAAACTACTCCTTTGGTCTTATTTAAAGAGAAAAGAAAGTGTATTTGTTTTGATTATATTTACAAAGCTTATCAATGATTATTATATTAATCTTTATCCTTATTAAACGTTAAAAATATTATTAAATAATATAATATTTTAATTTTAAATTATATCTATTTAATAGAAATAAAATTAAAAATTTATTGAATTTGTAGATAGTTAATGAAATTAATTTAAGGTTTTCCTTGATTCCAATAAAAATATTAAAAAATAATTTTTAAATAAGATTAAAAAATTATATTTAATAAATTTTATTAATATTTGTAATTTTATAAAAAAAAGGAAAGTGTAGAATCTATGCTTGACCTTTTTACTATTCTTGTCATTTTACGTGGTAAGTGTGTGAACTAACTTGCCAAACTATATAGCACTTATATAAGTAATCATTTATTACCATAATTACAAGGAGACAGAAACAATATAATATTGTTCGTGTCCACTAACTAATATTATTATAATGATCATAACCTCTAAGATGTGAAACAAGTTTATGCATGATTGATGAAATTATCAAACTTATTTCAAATCTCAGTTTATGCCCTGTCTCCTTGCGGGTGTTTTGTCAATCATTTCTTCTACATTTATAAATTATAAATCTTCCTATTTTCCCCAATAGCATTCTCCATTAAGTTAATGGCAAATTTTAACACAGATTTTCTTTTGTCATTTCTTTGTCCACTATTCTTCCATTTCACGGTAATTAATTAATTAATAAGAATTTCATTTGTGGCTCCACTTGTCAGGTTTAACAGATTGTGTCTCAATTTAATTTCATGATATTCTCTCTACAGGAATTTAAACTAACCCAAATAAAAGGAAAGCTCCTATATACTTAATAAATTTATATTCTTACGGCAGTTATATTCGATTAAATTAAAATAAGTGAATTTTTAATTCAAATATAAGCTTAAAAATTAAATTATCAATGTACAAAAGCTAGTAGTTTTTTTTATTGCTCACATGTATCTTTTTATTGAAGACAATTTTATTCAAAGCATAGTTAGTCACTAAATATGAACACATCTTTGAGCACAAATTTAAACCTTAATTCATTATATTGTAAGAGATTAGTCTTTTTTGTTGAACCTAATTTCCATTGATGCAATTGCTAGTAATAGTTATGAATGCAAACTGGGGTAAGGCTGGCTAAAAAAAAAAATACTGAGTAAGTAATGGATAAAAATTAAATTCACTTATTTTAATTTGATCCATTGAAAAAAAATCATTATGTGTGCCAGAGTCGGGAATAAGGGCCAGGCCTGGAGGGCCGGGCTTGGAGGTCCTGTTTAAATAAGGGTTCGGGCTTTTAAAATAATTTTTTTTAAAGTAATCGGGCTTGAAAGCTTGGCCCTGATAAGCCTTGTAAAAAAGGGCTTGGGTTCGGGTAGCCCTTCAAGCCCTGTTATATTATTATTATTATTATTATTATTTTCTTTGGTGAAACACATGTTTAAAGTTAATGACCTGCTCACCTGATCCTACACACATTATATTATTATTAATTTTAATTTCTTCTAAAATTAATTTAATATAATTTAATAAATATTAGTGTATAGTATAAAATTTTTGATATTTTTTATTTTTATATAATTATTATGTTTGTATATTTATAAAAAATGAATTATTTTTTAACCAAGATTTAAATTTTATTATTAGACTTCTAAATGTGTGTTGTTTAATTTTTTAAAAATTATGAGAATTTTATTTTTTAATTTTAGAATATTTTAATTAATTTATAATGTTTAATTTTATTTTTTTTAAAAAGGGCTTACGGGCCCAGCCCTAAGCCCTTCACATAAGAGCCGGGCTTGAAAAACAGGGTTCAAAATAGGAAACCGAGCTTTAGGGCTCAAGCCCTTAAGGGTCAGGTCCGCCCGTATTCCTAACTTTAATGTGTGTGTGTGTGTGTGTTTTTTTTTTTTTTTTAGAATATATATTAAATATTTTTAAGTAAAACTTAGTTATGTATGAGAAGAGAAAGATGCTAAGCTCTTGAATGAAAACGGATCAAGACACCTTGAATACATGCATTAATAAATTCGAATCCCCGCTCAAAGGTGGTCTCAACAAAAAGATTGTAAAATAGACAATATATATTATTAGGCACAAAATATTCATTACATTATAATTTCATCCTTCTAACTTTCAGAATTCTTAAATAAGTTCTGCAAAAAAAGTACCACATACATAAATGAAAAAAGGAATTAGGGAACAAAATCACAGAAAAACATAATCAACCATTCCTCACTTAAGTTCTATATATACATATTTTGATTGATTTTGACTTGAGCAAACTTACATATATAATTACACCAAAATTCAACCACATCACAAAGAAAAAAAAGAAAGAAACAACAAGACAATATATATATATATATATATATTTATATATCTTCTACTTCCACATAATGATTACATTTCATTTTTTCTTTAAAATTTCCCCTGCGTTTATTCACTAGTCACGAACAAAAGCTTAGGTTGTGCATGGATTCCATGCAAAATAAGACAATAATTTTCAGTCTAATTTTACTAAGAAGATTTAATTCACCATTTTCATCGTGCCACGTAAACGTCACACCTCGTGATGACGTGGCACACGATGATAAGTGAGATAGATCAGAGAAAAACCGAAAATATGATCTTCTCAATAATCTCGGACTGAAAACTAAAACTGGTGATTTATAAAAGTATAGGGTTTTATTAATTATAGAGCTTATATGATATTTTTAGAGGTGAATCAGATTGGGAGGAGACTGAGGAGGAGGATTAATATTGGTGAGCATATGAACGACTTCTCTCATGGTGGGTCTGGAAGTGCCTTTCTCTTCCACGCACATCATGGCTATCTTGAACATATGAATCACTCCTGTGAGAGGATATCCAGTGAGCCTCGGGTCCACAACGGCCATCACCATCGCCGTGTCCGACGGCGACGGAGCCAGCTCCGACGTCGTGTTCTTCACCCACCCAACGATGTCGACGCCGTCGCCAAACTCGCCCACCGGTTTCCTCCCCACTATCAGCTCCAGCAGCACCACTCCGAAGCTGTACACGTCGCTCTTCTCGTCCACTTTCAGTGTGTATGCGTACTCTGCAACACCATTCGAGAACCACAAGAAGAAGAAGAAGAAGAAGAAGCTGTGAGAAGAGCTATGGATGTTGAATATGCAGATGAGATATATTTACTGAATAACCGTTGTTTTTTTTTTTTAAATTTTTGTAGTGTTTCTAACTTGTTGTCTCAGAAGGCTTTGCCTGGAAATGAAGACCATTTATCTGTTGCAAAATATGTGGCTTTATGATGAAAATAATAATTGAATTTTAGTATGTTTTTATGTGCATTTAAAATGGATGAAGTTCAATATTTAATTCAATTAAAAATAAGTATTTACTTTGAAATATCTGACAAAATTATGATACTTCTTTGATAAATATGTTAAACTGTATGAGCTCATTTAATCGAGCATCTAAATTTTATTATTTGACTCATTTTAAATATACATATTTAGACAAATGAAATCTGAATATATGTGAAGTACGAAATTCATATATATTGACCTCTTGGAAATTCGCTTTGTGCCTCTATGCTATATACATGCGTATCATATAATGAGATTTAAATTCTCTTTGAAGTTTTGAGATGTGTGAATTTTTTTTTTGAATTTTTTAACATTTTTATTATTTTATTATTTTTTATAAAAATATTTTCTTACTTTTTTGAAAGACACAAACTTCACTGAAATTCATATATCTTAATTTCAGAAGATTGCAATCTCATATAATAAATTTCTTGACATTCTTAGATATAAAAAATCAAAAAAATACTTTTGAAGTGAAATAATAGGAAAAGAAGAAATAAATTCAAATTAAAATTAAAGTAAATGACAAATTTAATATCCAACGTACCTCTTGTAAAAAAAAAATAGAGATTAAAAATTCTCATAAAATTTGAAAAGAGAGATGAAACATGAAAAGTAAAAGTGTAAATATAGAATCTAGTCGTTTGTTTTTTTACCTGTAATTTGTTTTCTCTAGTTCTCTAAACTCCAAACTCTATAAGACAAATTTCACAGAATATAATGATTTGTGATCCAAATTAAATATTACGAGTATTAAAAGAATCGTAGTTAGTTATAGGTAGTTAGAAAGAGAGGAGAAACAGAACCAGAACCTGGAGCGATGTAGCCGTATGAACCAGCAATGGAGGACATAGACTGAGAAGCTCCAGGATCAAGAAGAAACTTAGCCAATCCAAAATCTGCAACATGAGCTTCAAAATATGCATCCAACAATATATTATTCGACTTCACGTCCCTGTGTATGATCCCCGGCGAGCAATCATGATGAAGATAACACAGTCCCTTCGCCGCCTCGACGGCGATCTTGTATCTTGCTTCCCACTGCAAATGGCCTCCTTTCGCGCCATGAAGCCATTCCCCTAAGCTTCCATTGCTCATATACTCATAAACCAGCAAGTTGGTGTCCTTGTTCGATACGTACCCTAACAGCCTCACTATGTTTCTGTGTCTGATCCTCCCTAACGTCTCTATCTCCGCCTTGAACCCGTAATCGTTCCGGCCGCTCCTTCCCTGACCCACTAGTCTCTTGATGGCCACGTCGTTGCCATCTCTGGTGGACCCTCTGTACACGATCCCTGCCCCGCCTTTTCCGATTATGTTCTCTTCCTTCAAGCATTCGAGGACGTCGTCGGCTTTGAAGTTTAGACGATGGAACAAGGTGAGCTTCCAGGTCATGGATTTGTGGTGCTTTCGTTTTCTGAGTGCGTAGATTGTGATGAGGACGACGAGGATGGTGGTGAGGAGGGAGATTGTGATGACTATGATTTTGATGGATTTGAGAGGCTTGTGGGGTTTGCAGGAGTGATCTTGTGGGAAGCAAAGTTTGGTGTTCCCGGCGAAGCTCTCGCCTGAGAAGACGCTGAATTGGCCGCCGGTGGGGATTCTGCCTTCCAGATTGTTGTTGGAGAGATCGAGTGTGGTCAGGCTCACCATGTAACGGATTTCGTCTGGAATTGAACCTGTTAGGTGGTTCGATGAGAGGTTGAGAATGCTTAGGACTGTTATGTTATTGATTCCTCTGGGGATTTCTCCAGCGAGCTTGTTCCGGCTGAGATCCACGGCCGTTAAGGAAGCACAGTGAGTTATGGAATCTGGAATTGGACCCGTGAGGTTGTTGAAGCTCATGTTCATCTTCGTCAGCATCGGCAGGTTGAACATTTCCTCGGGAATCTCACCAACGAATTGGTTCATGTCTAGTAAGAGACTCTGCAAGCTCCGGAGGTTTCCGATCGCCGGAGGGATTTTTCCGGTGAATAAGTTATTCGAAAGCGTCAAAATCCCGAGAACTTCGCCGGACATGTCCGACGGAAGCTCGCCGGAGAACATGTTGTTACTGAGGTCGATCATCGACACAGAAGGAAGATTGAAAAACCCAGAAGGAATCGAACCGTTGAGGAAATTATTAGAAATTCGAACTTTCTTCAGAGATTTACACTCACCCAACTGCTCAGGAATTGGACCGTAGAAGGAATTGTTCATGAGAATGAAAATCTCTAACCTTCCTCCTTTACACAAATCCTTCGGAACCATCCCGGTGAAATGATTACCGGCAACGTCAAGCATCTTGAATTTCCCGTTCGTGCCCAGATTTTCCGGCAAGATGAACGAGAAATCGTTCTCCCAAACTTGAAGAACTTCCAAATGAAGAAGGTCGCCGATGAATGATGGGATAGAGCCACGAAGCTTGTTCTCGTACAGATTGATCAAAGTTAGGTTCCTTAATTCCGAAAAACTGGAGGGTATCTCTCCGGTGAGGCTGTTGGCGGATAAATCCAGCGACATGAGGCTAATCATGCCTGAGAGTTCAGGTGGGATTTCTCCGGTGAGATTGTTCTGCTGCAGAAACAGACTATTCACCTTCTTCAAATTGCCCAAGCTCGGTGGAATCTCGCCGGATAAATTACAGTACGATAAATCAATTAGTTCAAGCGAACTCGTCGTGCCCAGCTCCGGTGGAATACCTCCTTGGTAGGCATTACTGTACCCCAAATGCAATTGCCTGAGCTTCTTCAATTTCGCTAAACTCGCCGGGATTTTCCCTCCAAGGTTGTTCATGTTCAGCCGCAGAATTTCCAAGCTCTCAAACTCTGAATAACTCTCCGGTATCTCGCCCGAAAAGTAATTCCCGGCTAGCCAGAGCTGCTTCAGTTTCTTCAGTTTCACAACCTCCTCCGGTAACGAGCCGTTGAAGCTGTTATCATAAACGTCTAGAATCTCAAGCTCCGGCATGTTGAGTGTGATCTCGCTAGGGAAGTCTCCGTTCAAGGCGTTGTGTGAGACATTGAGGACTTGCAGAGAAGTAAGTTTGGCGAGCTCTTTGGGAAGACCGCCAGTTAGGTTGTCTTGTGAAAGGGTTAGATTGACCAGCTTGTCCAGAAGACCGATCTCCGGCGGAATAGAGCCAAACAGAGGATGGAACGAAACATTCAAAGAGACAACCCGGGAATAGTCGTCACAGGAGACTCCGGAGAAGCCACAGTGAGCAGAGGGAGAAGGAGAGGGTTTCCAATCCTCCATGGCTGAAGGTGAAGCGTTTGGTCTCTTGAGGGAAGCTTTGAGCTTGAGCAGAGCATCGAGGTCAGAGGATGCACTGGACAGAGTGGAACCGTACCAGACGAAGGAAAGGAAGAAGGGGATGCAACAGAGAGTGGATCTTCTCATGGCTCTCTATGTTTTGTTCTTCTTCTTCTTCTTGGGAGTACGGTGAAGATGAAGATGAGGGTTCTAAATTTGCATTTGGGAAGTTGATGTTTGTGGAGTGGCAAAGCTGATGAAGCTCTGTTTTGGGTTTCAGTACATGCAGTGTATTTAAACTACGTTTCAAATGCAAGATTAACGAAGGGGCGTTGGCCTCCGAAAAAGACAAAACTCAGTCATAATTATCGAGTTATTGAAGTGGAATTTTAATCTCTATTTGTTTATTTTTCACATTTCCTAATTATATTCTAGCTAAATATTTTGTATAAATACTTTATTAATAATAATTAAAATCTTAATGTATCACTTTTAAAAATAATAATAAATGAAGTAATTGTATTGTATATTTGGAAAAACAAGGCTAAAGTATATAATTTTTTTTAAAACTTTAAAACAGTTGCACGGAAATCTTTATATTTAAAAGTTTAAAATTAATACCTCTAATTTTTTTTTATCATGAACTTTCTTGTTATTTTTTTTAATTATCTTATTAATAGAAATAATTATGTCATATTAAAAAAAAGCACTCAATAATTTATGTGGCATTTAAAGTAAGTTAATAATAATTTTATAAAAAATTTATTCATATTTTTCTATTATTATTAGCTTTCATTGAATACCTTATAAATTCTTATATATCTTTTTTTTTTAATATGATATGACAACTTCAGTTAGTAAGATACTTTCTTCATTAAAAAATATAAAATATTTTTAACTAAATTTTATCTCTCAATAAAATAATTATTTATCTTCAAATTAGTCCTATCTTTTTATATTTATTTCTATTTAATAGGATGTTTCATCCTAAAATAAATATAAATAATTTATTTAATAGGGACACTTAAAAAAAGATAATAATTATACTTTGAAAGATTAAAAATATTTTACATTTTCTAACATTTAATCCCTAAATTTTTTTACATTTTTTAACGGAAAGAATATTAAAAAGTAAAAAAAGAAAGTCTATAGTAAAAAAAATAAAAATTTAGAAAGGCTAATTTTAAACTTTTAAATGTGAGGAGATTCTATGGAACTATTTCAAAATTAAAGAAAAGTTTGCATATTTTTAAAAAAATCAATTATAAAAATTATATAATGCTTTATATTTTTAGACCATGATTTCTAAATAGTTGAGAGGGAGTAATGGGTAGCTCATGCCTTGAGGGCTTACACTTCAATAAATCTTTAAAAAAACATTATTTATTATTAATTTGATTGTTTTTCAAGTTTTTTATTAATTAATAATGATTAAAAATTGACATATTTTCATACAATTATGCTGGACGATAAATAAATGTAAATATCTGAATAATCCTGTTTACTATTATTTATATAAAAAAAGTTATCTTATTAGTTTTGTTGTAGATATATACTCCCATTAATTAAATCTCATCCCAATAAAATAGTTACTTATCTTCAAACTAATCATATCTTTTCATATTTATCTCTATTTAATAAAATATTTATTTTAAACTAAATATAAAGTGATTTATTCAATAAGAATATTTAAAAAAAAGATGATGATTATATCTTGAAAGACTAAAAATACTTTATTTTTAACATTCAACCCTTTAAAAATGCTTTATAATTTTTAACAGATGGAATATATATATATATATATATATTACAATTTATGTGTGAATCTGTTTGTGATACAATTTTTTTTTGGGTAATACAATATATTCTAGTCTAGTATCAAATTGAGTATCATTTTTTTGGTTTTTTAAACTAATAAGCTACTCTCTCTCTCTATAAGATATACAATCAAAATATTTAAAAAAATATGAGGAATAAATAATTAGCAATAAGAACAACACTTGGATAAGACTAATTTACTGATAGTTATAAAATATTAATTTAAATAATTATAAATATTAGTTGTAAATTAGACATTCAAATCTATAGATTACTTCTTTTTCATATAGCTATTTAATTAGATTAAATTTGAATATTATGAGGTCCAATAAGGATAATTTTCTAAAGACATTTTTTGCATTTACACATGCTCGAAACATTATACTTAAGCGATCATAGATGAGATCTAATGCCAGTTGGAGATATATTACTTCAATGATTTGCAACTAATATTCTCACGTACAGTTGCAATGGACTGAATTCATATTTACAGTTTCTTTTATAGTAAAAGTTATATATTAGTATCTAACTATCATCAGATTAATCTTTTGAGGTATATAAGTGTGATTCTGCCTAATTAATATAGAATGGGATCTTTGAGAAATGAAAGAGAAATTAGGGAAATGAGAAAAGTAGAAGAAAGTGGAGATAGAGGGCAAGAATAAAAATGGAGGAATTGATGCTCGTGGGCTTCAAGTTGTGTGTCAACGAAAATCCACTACGTTTTGGAACATATTCGTATGCTGTAATGTATATTTATTGCAGTGGCAACAGAATTTGAAATCTCATATACTTATTATTAATTTATATTCTTCAATATTTATTTGCATCTCTCCACTGCTAATGCTCTCCTTTACAGCTTTGACTCCTCATTTAACGTTCCCTGTTAAGTCAACTACTGAGTATTTGCATTTTCATAAAGTCTACTTTTATTATTTAATCTAATAATTTCACAAATGTTAACATGTTCTGTTACATTCTTTACAAAATTTATTTGAAACAAGAAACATGATCTTGCGTTTTACAAAATTTAAAAATTTAAATAATATTCCCCCCCTCCGCTTCAAATTACAAGATATTTTTGAAGGCAAATTAAAATTTTAAAATATAAGATATTTTGATAAAAATAAAGTTTCATTAAATAATACTTTTTAAATATTACTTTTGCTATATATATTATTTTATAAATGAAATACTAAACGAATGACATTTTTAAAACTTTATATTTTTATTTGAAAAAGTAATATAGAGTGTATTTAAGAAACTTTATTAATATATTTAATTTCATCTAAAAGTGTCTTATAAATTGATACAGAAAAATTACTATTTTAATTTATTATATTAATAATAAAATTTATTAAAATTTCTTTAATACATTTTTTCATTTAGCATACTAAATAATGAGGCAAGGAAACACAATTAAAATGTATGGATAATATTTTTTACAAATAAATTATATTAAAAATCCACATATTATACTGAATCTATTTTTGTAACTATAAGTGTATTATTTTTAGGATAAAATATACAAAACTCTCTTAAATTTTGAGTTAGTTGCATAGAATCCCCTTCATTTTTAAATATTTAAAATTAACTTCCCTAACCGTTTTTTTTTTGTCATATACTCTTTCTGTTCAAAAAATATAAGGTATTTTTTGAACAATTAGATGTTAAAAAATATAAGGTATTTTAAGTCTTTCGAAGTGTAATCATTGCCTTTTTTTTCAAAAAGTTTCCTTATTGATAATGACTTTATATTTATTGTAGGATGTTTAATAGATGTAAATATAAAAAGATAAGGTTAGTTAAAAAATAAGTAATTACTTTATTAAATGGTGGGAGTCGATTAAAAATATTTTATATTTTTAAATGAAGAAAGTATATACTCTCTTACTATTATTTTTAGTTATTTTACTAATAGAAGTTGGTATGTTATATTAAAAATAGAGATGTAGTAGTTTATGTGGTATCCAATGTAAACTAGTAATAACTTTATAAAAATTTTATTCATATATTTTTGTTGTTATTAGTTTACATTCGATACCATATAAACTATTACATGTCTTTTTTCAATATGATATGACTATTTCCATTAGTAATATAACCAAAAAAAAAAAAACCACTAGGAGAGTCATGGGTTAAAACAAAGTTATAAATGTTAATTTTAAACTTTTAAAGTTGAGGGGTTTTTTATATATGCCTCAAAATTTATAAAAGTTTTATATATTTTAAACTTATTTTTTAAAATCAAGAAAGGTAGATATTTCATTGTTTCCAAGAAAAATTAAATATCATACTATTCATAATTTATAAATGATATGATTTGTTATAAATTTTATATTAACTTATCTTGTCATTTTTATAAATTAAATCACCCACGAAGGTAAGTGATGTGGTACGTGTTTACTTAGGAGCTATCATGAATTTGACAAAAAAAAAAAAAGCATCCATCCACTGAAAATATGTTACTTGTATGAAACAAAAGAGATATAAATGATTTCAGGAATCAATACATACATTACGTATATAAAAAATAGACTCACTTATTATTCGTGTTTTGGAATACATATATTATTTTCATTTTACAAAGATTCTCGAACATTTTAAGTCAACTACGAAGGATTTGGAATTCAAAAAGTCTACAATATCTTGTTTAATCTAATGCAACAAATTTCTCTTTCCATTTTAATTTGAAAGATATGTCAACATATTGTGTTCATCTCGTCCCAAGGTGTGAAATGTTCATTGGCACAGTGTTTTTTTATTCTAAGATTCACTTGAAGTTATTGCTATCTAATCGTTGTTGTATTTAAAAGAAAAAAAGTTTTGTTAAACTCCCTAAAAATTTCAAATTTGAATAAATAATATGGGATACGTGTACATTTCAAAAATTTTGAAATAAGTTGCTTTGTTAATGATTAATGTTAAGCCTTTAATTAAATCTTTCTCTTAAATAAATGTTAATATTATGTTCGCTCCGTTCATGTTTTTATGTTAATTTCTTATGAAATTTGGATTTCATTATTCTTAAGTTTACACACACACACACTCTTCATTGTTCATAATTTTATAGATAGCATGATTTGTTATAAATTTCATATTTCATGTTAATTTCTTAATCTTGCAAAATGTACACTGAAAGGCTTCAAAGTTTTAACATTTTTGTCCAAAAAGTTTTAATATTTAAAGCTTCAAAAGATCTTAATTTTTCATACATGCTCAAACTTTTTATGGAAAAAAATTATATAATGATTTTAGAATATTTAGAATTGAAAATTTAAATAAACATAATTGAGAATCTGATAAGAATAATTATAAATTTTTTTATAATTATCAAAAGTCTGTTTTTACCGATGAGTTGTGAACATTTTTTGGGGGTATTTTTATATCCATAAAAAGGTTAAAAAATTAATATTTTAAATTGTTTGAATTTTTAAGATCTTTTAATTATAAAT